GCCCGTACCTCTTTAAGAGACAGACCCTGCCCCCTGACAACAGGTGGGGCACGCACAGGGACGTGCTATGCCATCACCACTCATCACGCATTATGGAACTGTCTTAGGACTCTGCCATGCGTGGAAACTCAGTGCACATGCACAATCTTCTCTTTAAAAGTTCCAACTTCCTCCGCCTCTCTCTCTGCTTCTTCTCTCTCTCTAGTGACCGACCATGGCAGTCGGCCATTAACTCTGTCTCTCTTCTCTCTTCTCTCCTGTTCTGTTCTTCTATTTCTCTCGCTAGCTTTCCCACCTTATAATAAACTGCTTAATGTATCTCTATAATCTCACGTCTCATCATGCCCTTCTTTATTTCTAATATATGCAGATATCAAGCATTTGGAGCCTAATGTGATTTTAGTCTCTCTCACTGCTCGCTGGCGGGATAGGCTTTCTCTGTAACCTCTCTCACCCAGGGTGCAGAACTCTCGGGGATCCTGAAACCCGAATGCATGACCCACTTCCCATCTCTCAGTTTTGCCTGGCATTTCCTTCTGCCTGCAGAGGCCTGAGATGCCAGAACTCTGTACACTTCAACTCGCTGCTTTTCAAACCTTTGGTACCCACAGTTGCCCTCAGTCAGATTTATATCACAGTAAGAATCGACATGGACTGGGACAAGTTTTGGTGTGCCTATTTTTGGTTCACCTCTTAGCTATGGAATTATTCTTCTGCTTTTGCTATATGTTCCACAGATGTGTTGATCCCCAAATTCCCGTTTCCATACATGAACACTTACTCATTTCTCTCTTCATTGCTGGCTCTGCCACACACTCTAAAATACCAAATACTCACCTGGCTTCATGCATAAGAAGGATGGTGGATTCATTGGGCAGATTCCATCTCCTTAATAACCAGTGCTGTTTGAGATCTACCTCAAGCCTGAGGTAGAGACCTTTGACTATGTAGCCTAACTTCCCTCCAGAACTGCCATTTTCATGTCACCTACAATGGGAATGACAACACTGTCTTTGGAAGACAAGGTCAATTATGAACCCATTTCCAGTTGCTAATCAACAAAGAGGCTTAAGGTTTTATTTTTAATATCTCCAATGAGACAAGGTGTTTTGAAAATGAGCTTGGTTTTTATTGTCACTGAAGTTTGACTGAGGACCTATGGAAGGTGCTCAAAAGTTTGTGGTTTGATTCCTGAGAAAGTTAGAGAGGTCTCTGTGTCCTATTGTATGTAAGATTGTATGACATATCACACAACACAGATAAACTTAGTGTTTTTTAGAAAAAATTGGAATATTTACTGCTTAAATGTTTCTTGAGTATTATATACATGCATAAATATTTTAGTCAGACTCACCCAACCATTATCTGCTTTCTAATCTCTTGTCCCTACACCAGTATTCCCTTCAAATTCAATGTGTTACCTAAAAAAGGAAACAGAAAATAGAAATACACTTAATATACTTAGTGATCTAGTATGTACCTAGTGTTGTGGCAACTCTGAAAGCATGGGTACATTCTAAAATGTCAGAGCCTTTATGAATTCTGACACTTCCTTTCTCAGAAGCCATATGTGGCCAATAGCTCTGCAGCTATGAGTGGGACTTCCTGACCACACGTTCTGTGCTGGGATCTTGTCTAGATTCATCTTGTGTAAGTTTTGTGCATACTGTCCTAACATATGAATTCACATATGCAAGTGCCTGTTATATCTAGACAAAATCTGTTTCTCTGGAATCATAAACCACCTCTTGTTCTTGTAGCCTTTCTGCCTCTTCTTCCACGATGATTCCTGACTCTTGAGAGGAAATATGATACAGATGTCCCATATTCTGCTGGACCCTCCAGAGTCTCTTATTATCAGTGTTTTGAATGATTGTGAGCCTGTGTGATAATAACCATAGTGTGCAAAAAGAAGCTTCTCTGAAGAGGGTAAGGGTTAGACTTATCTATCAACATAAAAATCAATTTACTGTTGTTGGAACATGAGTGATCTGGCCCTAAGTTAGACCTGGCCCTGTCCCTCTATGGCCAGGAGGTGGCATGGGTGTGAGTGAGATGTACTCTCCCCCACCCTGCTTGCTGGTCTCGTTGTAGTGAGATCAAGAGAGCTGATCCTACCCATTATCAGCACTCATAAAAGTGGACCCTGCACCTTGACTTTGCAACACAATAGTGCTGGTCAAGGAGACCTAGGTGTGGGTGAGCTGGCCATGAAGGAGTGAAAGCAGAACTGCCTGTACCATTGCTGCATGGGGTTAACTATCCAGGGTATTGCTGGAGAGCTCAACCTGGTGGCAAATGGGAGACAGCTGTTGGGATGACCAATTGTGTAACCACCCAGGCAAAGAACCAGTGCTATGAGTTGGCTCACTCCAACATCCACTCCATCTATTAACTCTTGGAACATGTAAAGATGCTTGTCCTGCTAATCCAAAGATTCAGGATCTCCACAATTCAGGAGTAAAACAGCATATTCAAGAGACATCCCAGTGAAGGCACAGTATCCTATGGGTATCAAAGGAGAAACCAGAGGTCTCCAGCAGACCAATGACTCTTTGCAATGATCACTTGAACTTAAAGATGAATGGACCAAAGAGTTTACTGTATATCTCACTGTGTCATTCTACAGCTTCTACTGTGAGATGTTTTTTCTCTTTACTATATACAGGTAATAAAGGGGCTAAGAAAGAAATCAGAGAAAAATCACCCTTTACAATTGCCACAGACAACAGAAAACATCTTGGGGAAACTCTAACCAAAAAAATGAAAGACCTGCATGACAAGAAGTTTGATTCATTAAAAAAGAAATTAAAGAAGATACAAGAAAACAGAAAGACCTCCCATGCTCTTGGATAAGTAGGATCAACATAATAAAAATGGCAATCTTGCCAAAAGCAATATACAGATTCAATACAATCCCCATTAAAATACCAACACAAGTCTTCACAGACCTTGAAAGGACAATTCTCTACTTTATATGGAAAAACAGAAGACCCAGGTTAACCAAAACAACCATGTACAAGAAAGGACCTTCTCGAGGCATCACCATCCCTGACTTGAAGCTTTATATAGAACTATAGCAATGAAAACAGCTTGGTATTGGCACAAAAACAGACAGGTAGACCAATGGAATCAAATTGAAAACCCTGATATTAGCCCACACCCCTATGAACACCTGATATTTGACAAATATGCTAAAATTATACAATGGAAGAAAGAAAGCATCTTCAACAAATTGTTTGACATAACTGGACACCTGCATGTAGAAGATTGCAGATAGGTCCATATCTATCACCATGCACAAAACTTAAGTCAAAATGGATCAAAGACCTCAACATAATCCAGCCACATTAAACCTCTTAGAAGAGAAAGTGGGAAGTTCCCTTGAACGAATTTGCACAGGAGACTGCTTCCCGAACATAACCCCAAATAGCACAGATACTGAGATTGTCAATTAGTAAATGGGACCTTCTGAAACTCAGAAGCTTCTATAAGGCAAAGGACACAGTCAGCAATACAAAATGGCAGCCCACAGAATGGGAAAAGTTATTCACAACCCCACATCTGACAGAGGACTGATCTCTAATTTTTTCACCAAAATTTACAAAGAACTCAAGTAGCTATTTTCCAAAACACCAAATAATTCAATTAAAAAGTGGGGTACAGAACTAAATAAAGAATTCTCAATAGAGGAATCTAAAATGGATGAAAGACACTTAAGAAAGTGTCCAGGATCCTTAGCCATCAGGGAAATGAAAATCAAAACAAATCTGAGATATCATCTCACTCCTGTCAGAATCACTAAAATCGAAACCACCAGTACAGTTTATGCTGGAAAGGATGTGGAGAATGGGTAATACTCCTCCACTGCTGGTCGGAGTGGCAACTCATACAGCCTATTTGGAAATCACTATGGGGATTCCTCGGGAAAATGGGAATCAGTCTACCACAAGATCCAGCATTTCCTTCCTAGGCATATACCAAAAAGATGCACATTCTCACAATAAGGACATCTGCCCAACCATGTTCATAGCAGCTTTATTTTTAATAGCCAGAACCTGGAGGCAACCTAGATGCCCTTCAACTGAATAACGGATAGAGAAAATGTGGTATATATTCACATTGTTGTACTACTCAGCAGAAAAAAAAAACAATGGAATCTTGAAATTTGCAAGGAAATGGATGGTACTAGAAGAAACCATTCTGAGTGAGGTACCCCAGTCATAAAAAGACAAACATGGTATGTACTCACTCATGTATGAATTTTAGACATAGAGCAAAGGATTACCAGCCTACAATCCATAGTGCCTGAGAAGCTAGGAAATAAGGAAAACCCTAAGAGAGACATACATGGTCCTCAGTAGAAGGGGACAAGCTTTCCTGAGGTAATTGGGAGCATGGGGGAGAGGGAGTTTAGAGAAAGAGCAGGCAAGGAGAGGAGGGGTGAGTAGGACATGAGGTAGCAGGAAGTTTGAGTTGGGGGAAGAATAGAGGAGAGCAAGAAAAGAGATACCATGATAGAGGGAGCCACCATAGGTTTAAAGATAAATCAGGCACTAGGGGAATATCTAGAGGTCTACAAGGATGACACCAACTAAAAATCTAAGCAACAGTGGAGAAGCTACTTTAAATGCCATCCTCTGATAATGAGATTGACGACTGACTTATATGCCATCCTAGAGCCTTCATCAAGCAGCTGATGGAAGTAGAAGCAGACACCCACAGCTAAACACTGAACTGAACTGGAATCTAGTTGCATGGAGGGAGGAGTGATGAGCAAAGGAGTCAAGACCAGGATGATGAAACCCACAGAAACAGCTGACCTGAACAAGGGGGAGCTCATGATCCCTTGATTGATTGCTGGGAATCCAGGGTAAGTCTGATCCAGAACCCCTGAATGTGGGTGTCAGTGAGTATGTCTCTTTGTTAAGGGGTTACAAGGAGGATTGAAGTGAGCAAATGTGATCATATTTCATTGTATACATATATGAAGTATCCAAAAATTAAAAATGTCAAAATAAAACTCACTATGGATGATGATATAGCAACTGAAGTTACTACTTTTCTGTGTCTTTTTTTGAGACATGGTTTCTATGTAGGCTTGGAGCATGTCCTTGATCTCACTCTGTGGACCAGGCTGGCCTCAAAATCATAGAGATCTTTCTGTCTCTGCTACCCCTAGTGCTGGGGATCCCTGGCTTGTACCTCCACTGCCCATGTAATTATTTCTTGTGTGTGTTTGTATCTGTGTATGTGTGAATTTTTCTATGTGTCCCTTTGTGGAATGGACAAGCAAGTCATTCTTCAGGTTCAGAGTATTGAGAGATAGAGAGGAACAGTGTTTCATAAGATAAGGAGAACAGAATGACAAGAAAGATAATGTTTGGGACCAATCTGTTTTACAAAAAGCTTTGTCTCATTACAAACTATTTTACTAGGAAGTACAGCATCTAATTTTCAGTTTCCTGAAAAGAGAAATAAAGACAATGATAAAAAGAAAAAGAGGAGAGAGTATCATATGATGAGACAAATCAATGGGAGCTTAAGTCAAGCAATGTTGCCCAAGAGGAACACAAGACTTCTCAAGGACATCAGAGATCAAGTAGAGTGTGACATGGGACTGGTTATCATTGCCTCTTATGGTGCTGAGAGTTGTGTTCTCAGCATCAGAAGCTGGAGTTTCTCCAAGTTCCTGCCATAGTCCACCCCTGGCTCTTGCAAGCATACTCCTGGTTTTAATGAAGAAAACATGTCCCCTCTTTATACGTTAGCCCTTAAGGTCAAGTATCTGTCAATAGAGTTCACCATATTTGTGTGCCTGTCTGAGTGGGTATGTATGCAATGTCATCATTGTGATTAAAATCTCACAAAGCCTTGATGGATAGTTTTGATCATGAAATTGCTGGGCGACCCTTGTCTGCTCTCCACACTTTGTCCTCTGGCTGCTGCCCGAGCCTGAGGTGAGTCTGGGGGCTTCCCTGCCACAAACCTCCCACATCAGTCCCTGTTAGCTTCAGCCTGAGTCCCTTCCCCATCCCGGGCAAGAGTGGGCCAATCCAGACCAGAAGGCCCACCCTGAGTCTGGACACACTTCATCCTTGTCCAACCTCTGCCCTCTGTCCTCAGGTTGCCTCCTGTGCCTGAGCCTGAGCCTAAGCCTGCTGCCTGAGCCCTCCACCTGCCACCTTAGAGAGGGAGAGACCCCACCTGCACCCACTGAAAGAAGGGAAGGGAAGAAGACAGAATAAGAACTCACTCAACAACAGAAAGATCGATATGACACCACCAGAATCTAGAGACTCCACACCAGCAAGAATAAAAAAGCCCAACACAGAGGATGAAGAAATGATGGGCCTTAAAATTATATTATGAAAATGATAGAGACCATTAAAGAGGAAACAAGAAAATCCCTTAAAGAAATAGAAGAAAAACCAAGCAAAAATTACATGAAAAGGAGTAAAAGACAAACCACAAAATTCAAGAAATAAACAAATTTCTTAATGAATCTAAAGAAAGCCAAGAAAAAGCAACCAAACAAATGAAGGACACAATTCAAACAGTTCATGGTTGGAAAGCAGAATTAGAAACAATAAAGAAAACACAGAATGAGGGGATGCTGGAAATAGAAAAGCTGGATAAATTATCCAGGATACCATGAAAAGACCAAACCTAAGAATCATAGGTATAGAAGAAGGCAAAGAAATTCAGTTCAAAGGTCCAGAAAACATATTCAACACAATCATAGAAGAAAACTTCCCCAACCTAAAGAAGGGTATGCTTATGAAAGTACAAGTTGCTTACAGAACACCAAATATATTGGACCACAAAAGAAGTCCCCTCAACACATAATAATCAAAACACCAAACTTATAGAATAAAGAGAATATATTAAGAGCAGCAAAAGAAAAAGGCCAAGTAACATACAAAGGCGTACCTATCAGAATCACACCCGACTTCTCAGTGGAAACTTTGAAGGCCAGATCCTGGATAGATGTTCTACAAACACTAAGGGAACATGGATATCAGCCCAGACTATTGTATCCAGCAAAGCTTTCAATCACTATAGATGGAGAAAACAAGATATTCCATGACAAAACCAGGTTTAAGCAATACATTTCCATAAATCCAGCCCTACAGAAATTACTGGAAGGAAAACTCCAATGTAATGAAGATAACTACACTCAAAAATCCATCAGCAATAGGTAATCCCACTTTACCAAACACCTAAAAAAATAAGTGGGGAAATCCATACACAATAATACTGCCACCAACAAATCCAAAACAAACAAGAATCAACAATCAATGGTCATTAATATCCCTCAATGTCAATGGTCTAAACTTGCCTATTAAAAAATACAGGCTAACAGAATGGATACGAAGCCAGAATCCATCCTTCTGCTGTTTACAAGAAACACATCTCAACTTCAAAGACAGATAGTACTTCAGAATAAAGGGTTGGGAAAAGATTTTCCAATCAAATGGACCCAAGAAACAAACTGGTGTAGCAATCCTAATATCTAACAAATTAGACTTCAACCTAAAATCAATCAAAATATATGAAAAATGGCATTTCATATTCATCACAGGAAAAATCCATCAAGATGAAGTCTCAATCCTGAATATCAATGCTCCAAATACAAAGACACCCACATTTGTAAAGAATCATTAGTAACCACATATTAAACCTCACACACTTATAGTAGGACACTTCAACACCCTGCTCTCACCACTAGATAGGACCACCAGACAGAAACTGATGGAGGAAGTACTTCTGTGTATGTTTATCTTATTGATTGTTAAATAAAGTACTGTTTGGCCAATGAGACAGCAAGTTAGAGGGGACTAGGAGTCAAAGAGGATTCTGGGAAATGTAGTAGAGAAGTGGTGATCCAGGCAGGAAGTGACATAGCAAAGAGACTCATATTTAAGCAAAGGAAACAGGAAGGGTTCCCCTTTTCCCTCCAGTCTTCCTCTAGCAGTGCAATGTGATCCACCAGGAAAGAGGGACACCAATAAGGCGTCTGATAAGATAAGTCTTATAAAATATATAGATTTAAGATAATTGAGACTGAGCTAACAGATGAGAATCCTAGTCATTGGCCAAGCAGCATTTGTACCAAATATGTCTCTGTATTATTTTGTCCATCCACACGGCAGGCAGAATTCGGGCGGCTGGTAGAGACCACTCACGTGGCTTTAAGACTCACGTGGCTTTAAGACT